GAGGGCAACAAATGTACAAATGTCCTTGACACAATGTATGTATGTATGGATTGTGATGAGTTGTACGCGTCCCCAATAAAATAATTTTTAAAAATGACTTTCAACGTAAAGCAACATCGTTTATCTATTGTATAAAATGAGCTTTTATGATAATCCATTTTAAGATGAAATCCTAAAAAGATGAGTCAATGAAATGAAACAAATTAGCCTAATCAGTGCAGTTACCCCCTCAAATTAAATGTCACTACTATTATTTTTTTGCTTTTGATGAACTTAAATAGTTGTACAAAAGAACAAGCTTAATGAATTATTAAAACTGGAAATCTTAGGCACGATCTGAGGTTCTTTTCTTATTTTATAAATGTGTGTGTGTGTTTTCGCAGAGTGCCCACCTCTTTCTCCACCTTTTTTTCAGATTGAACCTTGCTCCCCACCTGACCTGTGCTGGTAAAATCTTGTTATACTGTGCTTTTGAGAGAGGACAACAAGGAAAGACATTTGAAGCCCATTGAGTGAGAAGGATTCTTTTCTGCAATCAACAAGGCATTGTTTTCTAGGGCTGGTGAGAATTTTCATTTGCCACAGCCTGGAGGCTGAGCTCAGGAAAAAGGTAATTTCTGAATCAAGAAGAAGCTACTGGCGAAACCTGATCCAGTGTTTAACAAATTTCAGATTCTCAATGGAATCCATACCTTCTGGAACCACTGAAACTAGTTGAACTCCGGAAACTATTGTCTGGAGATAATCTTTAACCTTTAAGCTTTCAATCAAAATGATACCATTGAAGCCTTCTTTAAGCCAATGATTAATTGATTTTAGTAAGTAAAGTATGTCTGTGTGGAGCACTGAGCTCATTTAAGGAATGAATCTCTCTGGGCGGGACCCGTTGATGGCAGGAACTGGAAAGGTCAGATGAAGGCTTTGGGGCAGTGAGGGTACCAGGATGGTGGTAGAGACCCCCTGGGCAGGGAGAGTCTTGGCACAACTTGAAAACTGCAACCAGAGACACTGAGTTATGTAGAAACCGTTGAAGTTCTACATCGAAATGTACACAACTTTCAAATATGTATAAATGAAAAACATTTTTATCTGGTATTTTGCAAGATTGTCTGTAGCCATATAGACAGTCCTCGAATGCCTGCTGATTAGATGTAGGCAATTAAATAAATGACCTGGGGCCATTCTGTCCAGTGGGATGGTTGGTTATTTCACCCTATACTTTATCCTGGATCATTCATTAAGGTTGGAAATAAGTTATGACCGGGTGTACAAGAAGCCTTCCTTAAACGGGGCCGAATACAATATCCTAAGAGCAGTAGTGCTCATTGAGCCAACCCGAGTGTCAACGGTTTCACTTTGTGTTGGTAAAAGTTGGAATCATTGAGTTTTCTTTTTATCTGGGAAGTTTCAAATCGTTTAGACAGACTTTGAGTCAGCAATGAACACTTCCTCTCTTTCTTAACACAGGTCGGGAAAGAATGGTTTGGGAAGTGTGGGGATAAGGCTTCCAGTTCTGAACACAGATAGATGCTTCCAAGTCATTTAGTCTTCCTGACTGTGGATTTCAGGGACATTTCCTCCATTTCTTTGGGGAAACTGACAATCGAAAACTGTAGCCTGGGGACGAGGCGGGGTGGACAGATGGGAAAGTGCTCTTGTGTTATCACAACTGTCCTCACGTGGCCTTTGGGGGAGTGATGACGAAGCCGATGGCGATGGCCAAGCCGCCGTCAGTGATTTTACCTTTGGTGGAATGTCTTCTTCCCGCCGTAACCAAGAGCTCCGGTCAAACTTCTCGATGCGTGTGGGGAGCGGAGGGTTTTCGGAGGTGGGATCCGAGTTCTGGCGCGGCATCTCCACGCGGTGCGAAGTCACGCTCAGGGCCTCCTGAAACCCAGAGAGGCCCTTGGTGGGCTGCTCGTGCACTGACTGGGAGGCGGTCAGGGCCGGGCCCTGGGATTTGACGGCCACCAGATGCGGGATCTGAGGAGCAACAGAAAAAGCGAGCCGCGGTATCAGCTGAGAAATCAAATCAGCCAGCACTCTCGATCAATTGAAGGGCTTATCAAGTTTTAGGGTACGAGAATGGGGCTCTACAGAGTCTAGCACAGCAACTTATGGCATGCCTTTTTTAAAAAGCTCTCCCAAATTTTCACTCAAGAGCTAGGTGTAGGGCTGACCCAGGGCTCCTGGTACAAAGTGGAAGGGTTTGTGAATCCTAAGA